TGGGAGCAACTTGGGGGGCACCTTGTGGGCCTCTTGGTGCCTCCTGGGCGCCTCATTTGGCTCTCTTGGGGCACCCTTGGGGACCTCGGGGGCCACCTCAAGGCCATCTTAGAGGTGATCGATCACCTGCCATCGCCAAGACGTCCATTCCCTGTGCATTTCTTCGATATCGTGTGTGCTTTCTTGGCAAAAGGGTACAGCATGCTCCTCGCCGACGAAAAATGCACACGTCCGAACGATGCCATGATCTTAGATGTCCGCTTTTCTCTAAAACTTGGCGATGGCTGGCAAATCCGTGGCTGCTAAAACGGTCTTCCCGGAAACAACAAACAAACTCCCGGAAAAAAAAACTCAGCGCGCGAATCAAATAATGAGCGGGCTGCTTCCCGGAAGATCAAAACAACTTCCCCGAGCTCCGTTTTAACAACCACGGGTTTGCCAGCCTCGGAATTAACCCAATTAGAACAGCGGCCCTGCCGCTACCAAGGCCTACTGAGTGTCCCCCCCCCACGCTCGCTGGAGTCCGCTCAGGCCTCTCACTCCTGAGCGGAGAAAAAACGACGGACATACCTGCTCCGACCACATCTGCTCCGACCCCATCTGCGAGGAGGATGCCCAGGTTCCCCCTCCTCCTCCTCCTCCTCCTCCCCCTCCTCCTCCCCCTCCTCCTCTCCTCCTCCACCTCCTCCTCCACCTCCTCCTCCTCCCTCCTCCTCCTCTCCTCCTCCTCTCCTCTCCTCCTCCTCCTCCTCCCCCTCCTCCTCCTCCTCCTCCCCCTCCTCCTCCTCCTCCTCCTCCTGCTCCGAGGCGCCCTGCCGACGGCGGCAGCGACGGCAGCGGCTACAGGCGGCCTCGGGCGGCACGGCCGGCGAGCCGCCGGGCCCCTCGGGGGAGCCCGCCGGCGGCGGGGCCTCGCACGCTCCTGGATCGGCCCGCGGGAGGAGGAGGAGGAGGAGGAGGAGGAGGAGGAGGAGGAGGAGGAGGAGGAGGAGGAGGAGGAGGAGGAGGAGGAGGAGGAGGAGGAGGAGGAGGAGGAGGAGGAGGAGGAGGAGGAGGGAGGAGGAGGAGGAGGAGGAGGAGGAGGAGGAGGAGGAGGAGGAGGAGGAGGAGGAGGAGGAGGAGGAGGAGGGCGCGCGCGGGGCGGGGGGTTCGGTGGGCTGCACTCGCAACGGCGAAGACTTCGGGGACACACTGACCCTGAGGATCGCTTCACCAATCCCCATCCCCAGCGGCGTGGCATGGGCCCCACGGGCCGATTTGCCCCGCTATTAGATGGGGGTGCAGGTCGTTCCCTTCGGGTCTCGAGGGGCGTATCCCCAGCTGGGGTGGTAATTAGGTGGGTGTCTCGAAGGGGATGGGGATTGGGATGGGGATCGGTGAAACGATACCGAACCCGGGTCAGTCAGGCCTTGCAAGATCCTGCAGGATCCTGCGTCCGTGCCCGGGTCAATGCGACCCTGGCCCTTCTGGGATCCTGCAAGATCTGGCCTGCTGGCTGACACCCGTTTGCATTGACCCCCGTCCCTTGAGCCCCGAAGGCCTCCGCCGCCGCGGGGAGGAGGGGGCCCGGGGCGAGCGGAGGAGGGCCGGGACCGCAGGGCGAGGGAGGAGGCGGCGGGAGGAGGCGGCGGGAGGAGGACGGAGGAGGAGGAGGAGGAGGAGGAGGAGGAGGAGGAGGAGGAGGAGGAGGCGGAGGAGGAGGAGGAGGAGGAGGAGGAGGAGGAGGAGGAGGAGGAGGAGGAGGAGGATTCGCCCCGGTCACCTGACCTCGCGCACGACCAACGGAGTGGGCGGAGACTTTGTCCGCGCCATGGTGCCCGTGCGCCCTGGGGCAAGGCGCCTCTCCGGCCCGCGTGGCGGGGATCGGACTCGCACCGACGACGAGACACGAGAATGGATTCGCGGCGACGGCGACGAGAAACCCACCTCTTTGAGTTCGGGACCCCAAATCACGGCGAGAAGAGGACGAGGGGAGGAAGCCGTCCTTTCCCTCGAGAAGAGAAGCCTGGTCTCGATCTCGGAAGAAGAGGAAACGGCATAAACATAAACTTTTGGCGCTCCGCGCGGAATTCTTGGATCCACGCTGGACCCCCCCCTCCCTGGCGCGCGGAGCGCGCTAGGGGCGGCGCCGGAGGCGCCGCCTGGGGCCTCAGCGCGGATCCAAGAAATCCGTGCGGAGCGCTCAAAGTTGATGTTTATGCCGTTTCTTATGATTCGAAAAATGGATCGGACCGATCGAATCGGAATGGGCCCTGGGGTTCGGATCGAGGTGTCTGGGCGGCTTCCGCCATTTGTGGATTGACCTCTAGGGTGCTTCTTCGCCACCGCGGCCAGACGATACCCCATCGAGATCCCACAATCCCCCTCTTCCTCCTCCTCCTCCTCCTCCTCCTCCTCCTCCTCCTCCTCCTCCTCCTCCTCCTCCTCTTCCTCCTCCTCCTCCGCATCGCTTCGCTTCGCGCTTCGCGCAGCGCTCAGCGCGAATACCTTCGCGCTCTCGCGCCGCCCCCCCCCAGGGAAGAAGAGGAAGGAGGAGGACGAGGAGGAGGAGGAGGAGGAGCAGGAATAAGAGGAAGAGGAGGAGGAGGAGGACGAGGAGGAGGAGGAGGAGGAGGAGGAGGAAGAAGAGGAGGACGAGCCGGAGCCGAACAGCGAAGAGCGAATCACTTCGCGCCTTCGAGGGCGCCCTTGGTACCCCCTCTTCCCCTTCGCGGAGGGGGGTGCCCTCTCCCCTGCCCACGCGCCGCAGGACCCCCCCCCACACTCGCCCGAACCAAGGTCTCTGCACCGTGGACCCTGCCGAACTCGGGTGTGGATGCGGTCGGAATGTTGCGGCACTCGGTGTCTCCAAGATGGGGACCTGAGGGATTGGGTCCTGAGGGCGAGGTGCCTCAGACAACGTAAATCCACCCTTGGATCCCTTCCTACCCTCAGGACCCCCATCCCTCAGGACCCCATCTTCGAGCCGCCGAGATGCATGCGCTCGTGGCCCGACGTGGAGGGCGCTGCTGCTCGTGCTGCCGATGCTGCCGTGGCCTCTGCTGCTGCTCCTGGCCCCGGCCGTGGCCTCTGCCGATGCTGCCGTGGCCTCTGCCGTGGAAAGGGTGGCGATTCTGATGATGGGCCTGTTTTCCACCACCACCACCACCATAAGGTGGAGGGGGGAAGGAGGTGGAGGACGAGGAGGAGGACGAAGAGGAGGAGGAGGACGAGGAGGAGGAGGAGGAGGAGGAGGAAGCTGGTGGGCTGTTCCGCGGCCATCCGGAAGCCTGACGAACCCGTCGGAAGAGGAGAACACTTGTCTAACAGGCACGAGATGAGTCGCCCCACGGCTAGGGAACAAAAATCAGGAAAGCAGCAGGGGAGGGGACAGCGAGAGGGGAAGCAGCAGCATCAGCAGCAGTTGTGCAAGCGGGCCGACGCGGCCGGCCGCCGCGACCTGGCGCCCCAGCTTTGCGGGGCGACCTACCAGCAAGCGCGCAAGGCAGCTTCCCGTCGGAAGCAGAGGACACACAGTCACGACCAGACGGATATGCTCCTGTGGCTTTGACCCGCCCAAGCCCGACGTGGGAATCCCCGTGCCCTCGCCGTGCCGTGCCGAGACGCCCAGGATGCCTCGGGCCGACTTCTATTGAATTGCCTTGCCCGCCTCACGAGAGCCCACACGCCCGACCAACCATGGAGATCAGACGCCTGCACCGCCGATGTCGAAAGCAGAAGAAGCCGCTCATGTCCCCCTCTTCCTTCTCCTTACCCGCCCGCCGACGACCTCGGCGGCCACGGCCTCAGCCTCGACCTCGACGACGACGACGACGACGACGGCCTCGACCTCGACGACGGCGAACAGCGACGAGCGGCGGTCCAATGGAGCCCCTGCGCTGCCGCGGGTGTGGCTGGCGCCGGGAGGCCAAAACGGCATTGAAAGACCTCTAGCTTTGGTCCTCCTCTTCCTCCTCCTCCTCCTCCTCCTCCTCCTCCTCCTCCTCCTCCTCCTCCTCTTCCTCCCACGACGACGGCGACGACGTCGACGACCACGGCGACGACGACGACGACGACGGCAACGGCATCGACTTCGACCTCGGCGGCCTTCTCCTCCACCAGCTCCGATGACGACGACTACAGGACCAAACAGCTGCCAAACCGTAGACTTTGGGATGTCCGCGCGGACTTCTTGGGTCGGCGCTGGACCCCCCTTTCCTTGCGGGCGGAGCGCAACCATCCTCCATGGGCGGCGCCGGAATAGCCATCCAGGGGGGTCCAATGCCGACACAAGGGATCCGCGCGGAGCTCCGGAAGCTTGTGCGTTTTGTTCCTTTCCGAACGACCGCCTCGACCCATGACCGCGCAAACTGGGGAAACGAAAAGGTACCGATAGCGCCAGTCCCTGGACCTCTCCCAGGGTGCGGTCTGACCAGGATTTCGAGGCGAATCCAGCCATGGCGACGAGGGCCTTGCGGCACGCGTTCTGGCCAGGATTTCGAGACGAACCCAAAGTGGTGACGAGGGCCTCTCAGGAGGCCCAGCGAGGCGAAAACGATGGAAGGGAGCGGTTTATGTACCCTTTCTTCTCAAGAGCCTCTTCCTCTTCGAACAACTTCCTCGACCTCGACCGCGCGAAAGACGAAGACGACGACGACGACAGCCTGGACGACGACGGCCTCGACGACGACGACGACTTCGACCTCATCAACGGACCCGACCTCGACGAGGACGACTCAACTCAACTCAATTCAACTCAACAACTCTAGGAGCGGTGCCTGATGATCGCTGTCCGACTGCTTGAGTGGGGCGCTGTCCCTGTGCCAACTGCCCCTTATCTCAAATCTTCTTCAGTGTGACATGCTCTGAGTGTCGAAACTTTTGCTCCGTCGGCGGCGAGGCAGAGTTGGCTGCAGCAGCGATAGAGCCAGGCTGGGGCACCGAGAAGCGAATTGGCCACGTCTGCATGCCAAGACACACGGGGAGGGAGACGCCTCCCCTGGCCCGCCGCCGCGGCGCCCTGGACAACGGGGTGGCCCCAGGGGCCGACGGGCCCCCCCTACGACGACGACGACGACGACGACGACGACGACGACGACGACGACGACGACGACGACGACGACGACGACGACGACGACGACGACGACCTCGCGGCGAGGCGGCGGTCCCGTGGAGCCCTGCGCCGCCGCGGCCGCGGCGCCCTCCCACTCCTCCGAGGCGCGCCGCAGCCGGGAGGGCCTGCCGCGAGGCCGCGGGCCGCCCGCCAACCCCGCCGTGGCCGCCGCGGCTCGAGGGGGCCCTGCTGGCCATTGCTCGGACGTCTATTTCCTGTGCGTTTTCCAGTTTCGTGCGAGGTTTTTTCGCGAGATGATCAAGGATGCTCCTCGATGGTCCTCGCCGAAGGAATAATGCACACGTCCGAGCGATGCCAAGCCTGGGACACACAAACAAACAGACACAACGAACGGGATTCCCGACATCTTCCCACACGTTCTGGGTCTTCGTCTTCCCCCCCCCCCCACTTCCCACATCTTCCCATACTTTCCTTGGAGTCGACGAGGAGTTGTGCCTGTGTGTGTCTTTGCCCCTCCTGAGCGGCGGCGGCCGCAGCCGCCAGCGGGAAGGCGGGGGGGGCGCTGGAGAAGCATCTAAAACAGGGGGCAGTTGGCACAGGGCCCACAGTCAGGCAGCCAGAGAGTTGTGGAGTTGAGCTGAGTTGAATGCTGTTGTGTTGAGTTGAGTTGAGTTGAGTTGAATTGGGTTGAGTTGACTTAAGTTGAGTTGAGTCGTCGTCGTCGTCGAGGAGTTGAGTTGAGTCGTCATCGTCGTCGGGCTCGTCGAGTTGAGCTGAGTTGAGATGAGTCGTCGTCGTCGTCTTCGACACCGCTCCTGGGGTTGTTGAAGTGAGTTGAGTCGTCGTCCTCGTCGTCGTCGTCGTCGTCGTCGTCGGCGTCGTCGAGGTCGAGGCCATTGCCGAGGTCGTCGTCGTCGTCATCGTCGTCGCCCCTGGCCCAAGGTGCCCCCAGCTTTTCGCTCCATTTTGAAGCCCCTGGGGCCATCTGGGCCCCGTGAGGGGGGTACTCTGGAGGCCGTGGGTGAAGGGGCCCTGGGACACAAGAGCAATCCGCCGGCCCCCTTGCGGGGCCATCAGGCTGCGAGGCTTCGGTTTGCTGCTCCCTGCGCCAATTCCAGTCTCTAGTTTCCAATGTTGCAATATCGCTTTCTGCTTCTCACTGTGATGTGTTCCTGTCCGCGCGAGAAGGGGGAACCGAAAACCAGCTCGGTTAGCGTCCCCGAAGTGCGTTGTCTGAATTTCTGGGAGGCCGTGGGAAACGTAAAAAACCTGGATAATATTCGATCCGGACGCAATAATCATCGTACATTGCAATTGTATTCGCGCCCCCGAGGCCAAGATCCCTCGTAAATTACACTATATTCGCGTCCCCCAAGCCACGATCCCTTCTAAAATACACCCTATTCACACTCCTGAGGTCACGATCCCTCGTAAATTACTCCACATGCTCGCCTCTGGGGCCACGATCGCATGTAAATTGCGCCGCAGTCGCGCCACCGAGGCTACGATCCCTAGTAAATGACTTCAGATTCGCGCCCCCGAGGCTACGATCTCCCGTGAATTATTACACCACGCTCGCGCCCCCGATGCCACGATCCCGCGTAAATTAAGCCACACTCGCGCCCCCGAAGCCACGATCCCTGGCAAATCGCGCCAAGTTCGCGCCCCCGAGGCCACGATCTCATACAAGAGGCCCCAAGAGGCGCCCAAGACGCGCCCAAAAGGCCTCCAAGAAGCCCAAAGTATATTCCGCGAGGCCCCAAGAGGCCCCCCAGAGGCGCCCAAACCGCCTCCAAGGGGCCCCCGAGAGGCTCCCCATGACACCCCAATACATATACAAGAGGCCTCAGACCCACAACCCAGGCACGGTGGCGGGATTGGCCGAAGGCCACTCGGATCCGCCGCCCCCTGTCGATTCATCGCAGGGGTTCCTGGCGTGCTAGACCCTTTCGGTTTTGGTTTTGGTTCTTTTTCCAAAAGAACTCCCCCTGGGGCTTCGGCCCGTCCCGCCGGCCACCCGGAAGGCACTGAATTCCCAAATTTCCTGCCCAAGACGGCTCCAGAAACGGCCGTTTCGCTCGGGACATCCTCAACAAATCGCGAAGATGGCCCAAGATGGCCTCCAAGTCCGCCCAAGATGGTCCAAGACGGCCTCCAAGACGGCCCAAGAGAGTCCAAGACGGCCCAAGAGCCAGAGGCCTCCCAGACGGCCCAAGAGGCCTCCAAGAGGTCCTCCAGGAGGGCCCGAAGAGGCCAAAATCATTGATTTTCCGTAGGTGTTTGAAGGATTTTGGCATTTGCGCCTTTTCGGCTTTCCGACGGCTCAAGACGGCCCAAGAAGCCCCCAAGATCGCCCAAGAGGCCCCCAAGAGGGCCCCACGACGGCCCAAGTGGCCTCCAAGATGGCCCCAAGAGGGCCCCAAGACGGCCCAACAGGCCTCCAACACGCCCAAGATGGCCTCCAAGACGCCCAAGATGGCCTCCAAGACGGCCCTGGAGCATTCCAAGAGGGCCCCAAGTCGGCCCATAGAGGCCCCCCAAACGGCTTCCGACGGCGTCAGACGTGCCAGGAACCCACCAAGATAGCCGCAGTTGGCTCGAAGCTGGCCCAAGACTGCCCAAGAGGCCCCCAAGAGGGCCTCCAGGAAGGCCGGAAGAGGCCAAAAACATTGATTGTCCTGAGTTTTCTGACGGATTCTGACATGTCCTTCTTTTCCACCTTCCGACGGCCCGAGACGGCCCAAGAGCCCCCAAAGATCGCCGAAAGCTTGCCCAAGAGGCCTCCAAGATGGCCAAGATGACCTTCAAGATGCCCACGTGTTCCCCGAAGGTTTTCCAAACCGATTCGGGGAACACATGGTCCGATGGCTTGGCAGGTTTGGTCTCAACGTTGGGCCACATAGGCGCTTCCCCAAAGGCAGGGGTCGGCGGTGATTCGCTGTAGGCGTCTTCGATAACGCCAACCTTTGAATATGCGCTGATGACTCCTATCCGCCCCTGCATGCTGTTCCCAGATGTGCCAAGGCAGCTCCGAGACGCACTGACGCGACTCTGTTATATCCCATTATGATAGAGAGGGAAACCCTTACGGAGAAGTAGACACAAATCCCAAGACTCCCAATCTTTCAAAATATGTTCTGGATGTTCGTCTTCTCCCCATTTTTCATACTTCCCTTTTTTTCCGCGGGATCGACGATTAATTGCCTCTGTGCGTTTTTTCCCTCCGGCATTTTGGGCCAGGGGCACTTCTGGCAACACCCAAGACCGGGGGGGGGGGCACCAGCGCCGGCCCGGTGCGGACCTTCCAGATTGCTGCCCCTCTAATCTCCAGACTTCGCCATCGTCGTCCTGTCTGTCGGTCTGTCTGGCTGTCTGTCTGTCTGTCTGTCGTCGTCGAAGGAGCAGGAGGACGACGAGGAGGAAGAGGAAGAGGAGGAAAAAGAGGAGGCAACCGCCGCCGCCTTCCCGCCGCAACTCCCTGAGACCTGGGCGTTGAATGTCGTGCCGTACCTTGCGTTTTTGCTCGGTTGCGGGCCCCCGGCACCATTACACATCGATCTGCTGCCTCGAAGAATGCAGCACAAAGATGGGGTCTAGACTCTGGCCAGGACTTTCAGCAATGTTTTTTGCTCGCGACGTCGGTTATCAAAACTGCCGTCGTGGTCGTTGTCGCCCCAACCCGCTCGCCTGCCGCCGGCGCCGTGCTCTACGCGGCATGGCCGCCGGTTTTCGCCTCGTCCCCGCCGCCGCCGACCTCCCCGTCGTCGCCGATCCGTGGCCTTCACCGCCGCTGCCCGCCGCCGTCGCCGTCGCCGCGACGGCGACCCCCCCCTCCCGCCGCACCCTGGGCGAGCACACAAGCGCTGATACCGCCACTCCCCGGATCTCTCCTGGGCGCCCTCTGGCCAAGACTCCCCAGCGAAGCCAGCCGTGGCGACGAGGGCCCCCGAGGAGGCCCACGAAGGCGAGCACGAGGGAACGGCAGCGGCATCGGTAGCTGTTCCTCCCCTGTCGGGATCATATGACTCACGTCAGTGCATGCCCGGGCCAGTCAGGCCTTGCAAGATCCTGCCATTTGGACGCCCGAAATGGGTACGGAAAGAATGGGTACAACGCCCAACAACAAATGCTGTCCCAAACCAACAGCGGCCGCTGTTGGGCGGGCGGCCTCCTGTCTCGAATGGACACAGGCCGCGGCGGCGCGGACAGCGAGAGAGAAGCGCCGTGCACGTCAGAGGTGCGTTGGCAAATAAGTGAAACAGCAAGTTCCGCTGCCGGAGGCGCGGCTGCGAAACAAGAAGACGCCGTGCAGACACCGACAGCGACGACGGCGGCGGCGAAGGGGGGGGGGGGGGAACAACAAGAAGACACCGACAGCGACGCGGGCAGCGAATCTTGCCCAAAATGAACAGGAACTGCTGTTGGGCATCGTACCAATCCTTTCCGTACCCATGTCGGGCGTCCCGATGCCAACCCCTGCAAGAGCGTGCAGGCTCGCGCGGGACTCCGCGCGCCACCCCAGGGCAGTGCACCCCTGGCTCCGCGGGATCCTGCACGGCGAGGCGCTCTGGCGGACTCTACAAGGCAGTTTTTAAGACATAGGATTTGTTTAATACAGGATTTTTAGTACATGATTAATGAATGCACAAATTTATACACGAACTCATCGTTGTTTTTGATACTAAATCCCTGCATTGTTTTCATACATGATCCGCACGCGGAGCATGTATTAAAAACGGCACTGTAATTTGCATTGACCCCCGACGAAGGGCGGCAAACGCAATCGCTGTAGGGCGGCTGCGCCCGCCCGCGCGGGCGGCGGCCGCGCCAGCGCGCCCCCTCTTCGCGCCGCCCTGCTGTGCTGCGAGTGCGCGCGCGGCTTCCCTTCCCGCCCAGTCAGCCCAACATGCCCAGGCCCACCCTGCTCAGAGCCGGGGCAGGCTAGACCGTCTCCCAGCCCCCCGACGTCATGACTTTTTCGCAACGTCGACCCAGGAGGGCTCGACCCATTCCCCGGGACGGGGCTTTCATTCTGGATCGTTTCTCGACGGCTCCGAGGCCTGGCAAACGGCCCCCAGACGCCGAAGATAGAGAACAGCCTCCCGCCATGCTGTTTCCCTAGCCCGAGGGGGTCTGGGCTCAAAGCTCCCGACTCCGCCTCCCGCCGCGCTCGCCGGTGGCGCCCGCCGCCGCCGAAACCGCTGCCGCCGCAGCCGCCAGCGGCCCCCGTGCGAGGCCGCGGGGGGCTCCGAGGCGGGCCGCGGCGGCCTCGCGGGCTGCAGCCGCAGCTCCATGTGCTGAAGGCGATCCACCTCTGCAGGGGCCGGGCGGGGAGAGGTTCGAGAATCGATGCTCGACGATGCGGGATCACACTGGTGACTAGGAGTACGGCCCGGTGCGCCTGCGGATCAGGGGAAAACCGGAGCTGGAGCGGCGCGGGCGAAGACGAGCCGATCAGCAGGCGCGCACTGGGCGCTGGGGGGGGTCGAGGCTCGAGAGGTTTTTTGGACATCGATCGCTGTTTTATGGGGCTTGCGGGAGGGTTCTCGTCGCAGCCACGGCTGGATTCCCGCAGAAGTTCTGGTCAGAGCACACCCTCGGAGAGGTCTGGGGGGTCGATTTTCTCAAAGCTTCTTGCAGTCGACCGAGGGGGCGAAGGAAGGGAGGGCGGAGGGTGGCGGTGGGCAGAGGCAGCCTGCCAAGCGAGGGGTGAGAGATGCTCCGTGAACTCAGAACCAAGCTGAAACGATGTCCAGTCCAAGCAGCATTCAGGGTCCGTCGCAGAGAGACTGGAGGAGGAGGAGGAGGAGGAGGAGGAGGAGGAGGAGGAGGAGGAGGAGGAGTGCCCCGCTCGGGGCCGTGCTGCGCGTGCTGGCTCGGAGGGGCTGCGCTGCGCTGCCTCGGAGCGGTGCGGAGAGTGCGGAGGGCGGGGAGGAGGACGGCGAGGACGAGGACGGCGAGGACGAGGACGAAGACGACGAGAGCGGGCGACCTCCGTCGCCGTGCCTCCCCCCTTACCTTTTCTCTTGACTTGCCCGCCCTGTTCAAGGGGGAGCGACTGGGGGGACTGGCGCGGGGGGGGAAACGTCGAGGCGGAATCGGCGACGCTTCGCCGATAGATCGGCAGCGCGTCCTCGATTGCGAAGCCGCACCATCCTGAGCGGGGTCTGCTACCAGGCCGTTGTCGGCAATGGGTGGGCGATCGGGGGGCGATGCTCCCCACTCTGAGCCTGTCACCGCCCTAAGTGCTTTTCCTCTCCACCTGGTTGTTGCCTGTGGCGGACTGGAAGGATGCGACCACACCAATCTTCATTGAGAGAACGAAAGAGAAAGGCAGCGGCTGGATGAAAAATCAAAGCGGGGGCATGATCAATTGATCTACGCAGACGGTCATCGCCTCATCTTTCGTCCAACATACACCGCGCTGTTTCTGCGCAGACGAATCGCAAACACCGACGGCTCTGGTTATGAAATCTCCTCCGCTTATGAGCATTCTACTCCAATCATATGAGAATCCTCTGGATTTGCTCCGTTCCTATAAAGATATCCTCTGGTCCATTTTCAGCACAACAAATGTCACTTGGATCCGGGATCTTCACTGTTTGAAAAAGAATGTACCTCCATTCGAATCCAATAACAATCCACTGCGTTTGAACAATTATCCGTTCTGGTTCAGACCCTATCAAAATATGATCCAAGTCCAACGATAACCCTCTTGACCTGACGTGTGCTCCAATCCTAATGAATACACATTGGGGTCTTCTTCAAACCCAGCAGGACGCCTCTGCATCCGGGTATGATCAGATGTTTCGAAATCATATGTGGGCCGTGTGCAAATACAATCCGAAGCATCTGGGTCTGATGTATGCCTCTCTCCATTGGACCCCCTGTTGGAATCCCACCCTTATCGGAACGGACCACATATCCAGAGGATTCCCGATTGGATTCGACACGGCTTCTGATATGACCCCAACAGTAAAAGAGCCCAGCCCAGATCCAGAGGAATCATATGAGATAGGAATCGGGCTTCGACAATATGTGAATTTGAATGAGGCGGACCCCCAGACCTAATGTGTTCCTCTTACGTTCGGGTCCGTTTCCAATGGGGCTTCAAGCGGAACCGAGTAGACGTCATATCCAGATGCTACACATGGGAGAGAGACAGAGAGAGAGAGAGAGATAGGCAGAACCAGGCTGAGAGAGCGCGCGCGAGATACATACACATATATATATATATATCACCTGGGAAAACCCAATTCGTTGATGATTTGAAAATTAATACTACAGGGCTTGAGATCGACTGAGGGATCGATAGTGGAATCGATAAGGTAGACGATTGTAAGGTCGATCGTGAGACCGATAATAGCATCGATTCAATGAGATCGATAATGAGATCGATCGCGAGATCGCTCATGCGATCTCACATGAGATCGCTTGTAAGATCGATTGTGAGATCGATGGTGAGATCAATAGAGAAACGGGTACTGAGATCGATGGTGAGACCGATCGATAAAAAGATCAACCAAAAACCCGGGAACCCGGGAACCTCGCCACCCTCCGAAATCGGCCTGGAACCCGGAAACGGGAACCCGGGAACCCAGAACCGGGAACCTGGGAATCCAGCGTGCGACCAAAATCGGCGGGACACTTTCGCCAAATCCTTCAACTTCCGCGAGGACCCCTTCAGTGCAAGCACTGATTGGGGAATATATACATATATATATATATATATATATATATTATAACGAGAGAGAGAGAGAGAGGAAAAAAAATGATCAAAAAAACGAGAGCGAGAGAAAAGGACAGAGAGAGCACCGCAAACACCGCTGCATTATGAAGCGGGAGGGGCTGCGTCAGAGTGGGAAAGACGGGGGGTGGGGGAGGACGAGAGAGAGAAAGCGAGAAAGAGAGGGAGACAGCGAGAGAGGGAGAGTGCGCGGGATATATGTGGAGAGACCACAGCAAGCATTGATGCATTCTGAAGCGGGGGGGGGGCGAGCACAAGGAGAGAAAGAGAGAGAGAGAGAGAGAGTTCCTGTGGATTCCGGCGGGTTTCCCTGAGATTCCTTGAGATTCCATGGTGTGACAGGCGTTATGACATGAACTCTGAAGTAGCGGAGCAGATCGCACATCCACAGTCTTCCTGTCAGATTCGAATCCGTTTCCGATGATATGTCATTGGTATGGAGCAGGCCCCAGCCCCCCCAACAAATTCTATTGCAATCGGACTCGCTGTCAGTGAGACTTCAATCGGAACCGAGTAGACATCAGATCCGGATGATTATCCTGCTGCTCCTCCTCCTTCACAGATGAGAACACGAGAGGGGCACATAACAAAACAAAATAATCAGACAGCGAGAGCGAGCGCGAGAGAAAGGGAGAACGAGTGATATATATGTATATATGTATATATACATATATTTGCATGAATACATAAACACATACATATATATATAGACAAGGAAAAAAGAGAGAGAGAGAAAAAGGGAGAGCGAACACCACAAAACCTATTGCAATCTGAAGCCAGAGGGGCTGCGCGAAAGATGATGATGATAGAGAGAGAGAGAGAGAGAGCGCGAGATAGAGCGAGAGACGGAGGGAGACATTACAACAGACACACCCACGCAGTCTGAAGCGGGCGGGCAGAGAGAGAGAGAGAGAACACACGAAAAAATCCAGTGGCTTCCTTCCAATACGAATTTCCTCAAGGTCGCTTGAATTCCCATGGGGTTCCGTGGGATTGCATTCAAATCAGAATACGATGAAAATTCAATTTTGGGTCCAGTCGGAATCGAGCAGACCTGAGAACCAGGGGCTTTCTGCTAGATTTGAACCTGGGAACGAGGAGGAGGGAGGGCAACGGAAAGCAATGGGGATGAAGAAAAGGAGGGGGGGAGACAGGAACAGGGAACGGAAAAGGTAGATCTTGGGAGGGGGTGCGAAACACATCCACATATAATATGAACACGTATCGGTACATATATATATATATGTAAACGTGTGCATTACATGTACTTATGTATACATCCGCCGCCGTCATCGTCGTCGCCGCCACCGTCGGCGGCACCGGCCGTACGGCCATCGCATTATACATGCATATATAGACTTAGGTACAAGTTTACACATTTGCATCTTTTTTTTGTTTTTCTCTCTCTCTCTCTCTCGATGTATATTTACATAAGTTTGTAGATGTGTTAGATCCACGCGCGCGATTGGCGCGCGTTTAGGTTCTCCCCCATTTGTCCCCCCAATTCGCCTCTATTCTTCTCCCCTAACCCTACTCACGAAATAACCCCTCCCCGCCCCTTTACACTCATCCCCCGTCAGCGCTCCTGAGCTCGCTGCCCCCTTCCTTTTCTCCTCTTGTTCCGCTCCTCCTCTTCCATATCTGCGGCGGTGCGCACCAGCTGGATCCCGCAGCGCAGTCTTCTTACTGGCCAGAGTATAGCCGATTTTCCCTCCACACAGACATACACGAATATGTTCACATCGCGCGTTGCACACCTCTCGCCTCCTCCCTCCTCCTCCCCTCACTCTGCATTCCGCATGTCCGTTTCGGCACACCCTTCAGACGCTTCGTGCCCCCTTAGGGAATGGTTCCCCGCCCCATTGCGGCACACCCTCGCATTGGTCGCGTCCATCTAAGGAGCTCCACCGAAGACACCAACAACTACGTTTGCGTTGTCACCTGCTAACCTTCGGCACACCCATCACTCGTGCCGTGCCCTCATTGGGAGTTCGCTCCGCCCAAGGCCTCAGTTGCAGTGTTCGCATGGTTATGCGCACCACTTCTGCGCATCCCTCACTCGTTTCGTGGCCTCTCGGGAGCTCCAAGGCCCCAATTGCAAGATTCGCATGGTAGTCCGCCCCACGCAAAGCCCTCACACGGCTCGTGGCCCTCTGGGGGGCTCCACCCAGTGGCAAGGTTCGCATGATGCTCCGCCCCATGCCGGCGCAACCCTCAAACGTTTCGTGCCCCCCTAGGGGGTACCCAAAGCTCCAATGGCGCAATCCGCATGGAGTCCCGCCACAGTTCGGCAAACCCTCTACGCGGCTCGTGGCTCTCTATGGAGCTCCACCGAAGGCCCCAATGACAGGGTCAGCATGGTGGCCCGCCCCTGTTTTGCAGACCCCTCTCATTTTTCGTGGTCTCATTGGGAACTCCACCGAAAGTACCAATGTCTGAACTCACATGCTGCCCCGCCCCGTTCTGGCACATCCCTCACACGCTTTGTGGCCCCATAGGGAGCTCTACCCAAAGCCTCAGTGGCAGGGTTCACGTGGTGCCCCGCCCCATTTCGGCACATCTCTC